AGACTGGAGACCTTCACTTTCTGCTTTTGACTCTAGGTTTGGCTTAGCCTCCTTTACCTCTGATTTATGAACTCTTTTTCCTCTCATCCTCCTCTTAGAACAGTACCTGTCCCCACTCAGATACACATGCTCAACAAAATGCATTGTCTGCCCACAAAGAATATGGAGCTCTGGGAGCTGTTGATCCATTCTACAACCAGCTGAGCAAAGAGAAGCAGCCAACAGAGAGTTGTGGAAAGTCCCTCTCTCTTTTTGGCTAAATCAACAGCTGCTTTCCACCTTACTTCTGAACTTGGACATTGCAGTTGATGATACTTCATTGTGAAAGTTTGAACTAGAAATAAATATGTAAATGTTAGAATTAAGTGCTAAAAGTAGTTATTTTTACCTTATAGATGGCAAAACAGGCACTGGAACAATTCAGGTTGTCATCCAGCCTGGGAACAAGAATTACCCACGAATCACTAAAACCGACTATATAATGTGCAGAGACAGAAAGCCAATCTGCCTTACTGCACAGGATGGCGACGAGTCTCCTTACAGCACGCCCTTCGTATATCGCATAACTGACCGTAGGTTGGCTGCCAGGTGGAAGATAAGTCGGCACAACGGTATGTTAAGACTTCCTCCTCCTCGCGTAGCTGCAGGTCACCAGAGAAGGCTTTGCTACCTCTGCCTGGGGTGGACTATTGGAATAGATTGGATGAATGTGTGTTTGGAACAGCTAAAGTATTCTTTATCTTAACTGTCCTGGGTTTGAAACAGTTTGGAGAAGTTAAGAAGGTGACACTGTTGGCATCACAAAGGCAAGGAGAAGGATTTTATATTCTGCCTCTTACAGAATAGAGAAGAATCTGTCCCCGGCATTCTTGGGTCAGCAATCAGCTGCCATCTGAAATTATGATGTAAAAAGATTAGATGGGAGAACAAAAACCAATGTAATGTATTGCATCAACACCTCTGGAAAAGGAGGTATACATTCATAATTTGTAAGGAATTTAAGAATGAAATGGCTGATACTCCAAAGAAAAATACAGTGTTTCTTAGGCTGCTATTATGGTGGAAAACTGAAACTTTACCTAAAATTGATTAGAGGCTGACTAAAAAAAGTTGTGTCAGGTTTTTTTTCTTAGTGCTGCTGTCAGCCAGCACGTTTTTGATAAAACTGAGCTGAGTGAAAGAAGACATTAACTGTCTCCTTTAATATATTTATGGTAATTTTTATAATTTTGATATAAGTAGGTAAACAATTTATTACCAAAGAAATCACTGTTTCCTAAAATTTGCTGATATAAAAAGTTATAGCCAATGGTGGTTTCCTGGTGGGTGTCAAGTGATGGCACCAAGAGCAGCATGTACATTTCCTACTATATTGTCATGAATTAATTAGCCTGAAAAGAGTCTGATTCTGAAGTGGTGTATCAAATATTCACTAATGAAAGGCAAAAGACAGCAGAGTCTGAGAGCAAAGACATCTAAGAGTTTCAAAGTTTATATTAGGCAAATTGAAAAAACACTTTAGATGGTACATGTAGTTTCATATACCTCATCATAAAGCAACCATTATGTACATCAGTATCTATCTTGTACGTATTTTTTACAACTAACTTCTTTCACCCTTTAAAACATGTAATCACTAATCATTGCTGCTAAGCTGGGCAGCAGACTAAATGGATTTTACTTCCCATTGGATATAGCCATTTCCACTGAATATAGCAGTAGAGCTAAAGAGTGGAAGAGGTATAAATTAAGTTTACAATTAATTATTCCAATCACACCACCAGAAGTCCTTTTAATAAATGTCAGTTCAGTTGATGGTCTTTACTAGTAAGCCCAAATAGTGTCATTTATTATAATGAACTGAATTATAGAATCATAGAATCATAGAATGGTTTGGCTTGGAAGGGGCCTTAAAGATCATCTAGTTCCAACCCCCCTGCCATGGGCAGGGACACCTTCCACTGATTATGTTGCTCCAAGTCTCATCCAACTTGGCTTTGAATACTTCCATGGATGGGCAACCACAACTTCTCTAGGCAGCCTGATCCAGTGCCTCACCACCCTCAGAGTGAAGAATTTCTTTCTTATATCCAATCTCAATCCACCCTCTTTCAGTTTAAATCCATTGCCCTTTGTCCTGTTACTACACGCCCTTGTAAAAAGTCCCTCTCCAGCTTTCCTGTAGGCTCCCTTTAAGTACTGGAAAGCTGCTATAAGATTCCCCCAGAGCCTTCTCTTCTCCAGGCTGAACAGCCCCAACTCTCTCAGCCTGTCTTCATAGGAGAGGTGCTCCAGCCCTCGGATCATCTTCATGGCCCTTCTCTGGACCTGCTCCAGCAGCTCCATGTTCTTCTTATGTTGGGGGCCCCAGAGCTGAACACAGTACTGCAGGTGGGGTCTCATGAGAGCAGAGGGGCAGAATCGTCTCCCTTGACCTGCTGGTCATGCTTCTTTTGATGCAGCCCAGGATATGGTTGGCTTTCTGGGCTGCCAGCGCACATTGCTGGCTCATGTTGAGCTTCTCGTCAGCCAACACTCCCAAGTCTTTCTCCTCCAGGCTGCTCTCAATCTGTTTTCTGCCCAGCCTGTTCTTGGGATTGCCTGACCTGTGTGCAGGACCTTGCACTTGGCCCTGTTGAACTTCATGAGGTTTGTACAGGCCTGCCTCTCAAGCTTGTCAAGGTCCCTCTGGATGGCATCCTTTCCCTCCAGAATATCGACCACACCACACAGCTTGTCGTGGTGTCGGCAAACTTGCTGAAGGTGCACTCAATCCTACTGTCTATGTCACTCACAAAGATGTTAAACAAATTGATTAATCAACTTCAGAGTTTCAAATCATACGTTGTCAGAATTCTGTATAAGAATTGCTTTTTCAATTCTGATATTTAAAAGGTGCTGAAAGTATCAATCCTTCCAAGATGTAGTTTCTTGTCAACACATTTAAGCTAGCTTTAAACCAGCTGACCTGTATCTGGTAGCAGTATAGCTGTAATGGAATGGAAGATTGTGATTATGATCGCATTCATGACAACAGAGTTTCAAGTATTGTTAACACTAGGTCCGGTTTTGTCTTTTTTTTACAGATAATTCTGTGTATCTCTCACCAAAGGATGATACTCCATTTGGGGTATACGATATTCCTGTAAGTGTGACTGATAACGGAGGAAAGGTGGGAGAGCACAACATAAGAGTCAACTTCTGTGATTGCCTTACCCCAACCGAATGCGATGTCAAGTCCCGTGAGCTTTCTGCTGGAAACGTTACTCTTGGCTTATGGGCCATCCTTGCAATGATCTTAGGATCACTCTTACTGCTGCGTAAGTACACTTGTTCATTTCATTTGAAGTGCAAAACACTTAATTTTAAAATTACCTGGGAGAACCTGATTCAAACTTGTTTCAAGCATTTTTCTTTTTATTTAGGCAGTTGTGTGGCCCTCATCACTGACTTAATGTACCTGCTCTATTTGTATCGGTAGCACAGGCTTGCTCTCATCTTGTACTGTAGCTACTGTGTGTGGATTTTTGTTTATTCTTTTAAGTACATTTTATGTGAGAAGTTTTGTGTGTTAATGTTGGCAAAGCCAAAAAACTTGCATTCATGCTTGAACTGAAAGATGGGATTTGTAGTGCTCATCAGATCTTGTCCTGAGGCGAGAATAGCGAAGTTTGTTTGTGAGTTTAGAGCTGTTTTGGAGGTCCACATTTCTGTTTGTAGGAATGCTGAAATGAATTTCCTAGAGCTTTTTGTGACCTTTTTTGTGTCATGCATTAAAACGTGGAGTATCTGAGACTCTGGATTTCAAAAGGGATTTTACAAGAGCCAGCCTAGCGTTGAAGGACAAATTGGATACTTCTGTGACAGACCAAACCCTTGAATACATGTTGTGTTCCTGGAGTTGCCCAAAGACTAACAAAGTCTTAGCACAGGAATGTTGCCGTTAACCGTTGAGGTGGTGGCAATGATACGTAATAGCAAAGCCAGGTCATTTTTTTATGAGAATCAAACATATTCTGACTAATGACATCTTTAAAGTAATCACCAGAAGACATGCTACAGTAATAAATACTTAAGAGTTTGGGCTTTTTTTCTTTCTTTTCTTCTTTTTTTCGGTTTTTGGTTTTTTTTTTTTGATAATGAACAACCTATCTTGCCCCTGTTCAGTCTCAGGTAGCTGTTCTTACTCAGGTAGACAGAACACTGGGACCTGCACATGTTTTGAAGGTTAGACAGATCCATGTTTTATATGAACAAGGCAGGTACCCAAATTAGTAATATAGCCTGAAGGTGAAACTTTCAGATGCAGGGACACTCAGTAGGGGGACTGTGTGAAATGTCAGCTAGCTTTTTGTCACTACCCCTTGACTGCGTCCAGTCCAGATAGACCCACTATTTTCTTGTGGCTAGGTTTTACCCTGTGTATCCTCTGCTCATTGCTGTCATGAATGTCTTCTTCCCATCTGTCAGCATCAGGAGGTGACCCACTGGAACCACTGGTGCAGATCTTGCTGACAGTTGATAGCTGGAGAAGCTAAATGAGCTTGAAAGAGGCTCTTGACCAATTTCCACGGAAGTTTATGTGTTGTTCAGAGATCGGATTTCTCAGTGGGCAGTTAGGCAGAACTGTTCTGTTCTTCATGGGCTTCTTTATACTTAAGCTATCATCTTGAGAAGG